ACTATATGGCTGTTAATGGTTCATCATACCTATCTCACATACAAAGTATGAGCCGATTTGGCCGACCCCCATCTTCCGGCCTCTGCCTGGTTTTCTCGTGCAATGACTCTTAAATATAATAATGGAAATCAGTTAGAAATGTGTGAAAGATCCATACTAAATGTTTGAGTGCTCTCCAACAGCAAAGTTCTTTATTTTTTAACAAAAGGCCGACGTTTGGATGGCCGTCTGTTATCTTGATCAGGGCATAATAGCTATCATGAATTGAAATCAAGTGCCTAAAGACAGACGGGCATAGAAACGTCGGCTCTTGTTACAAGTGGCTGTGAGTAAATAAACTTTAAATTTACAGCTAAACAATCGCATGTATGATATTAGAAACAATCAACATGTCTTTATCCAATATGATTATTATTTACTGAGAAGTGTGCATCATGGAAACTTCGAAGCTGTGAAACTTTATTTCGAATCACCTATTCTTCCTGGCATTCATTCACAAATATACGCACAATATATATATATATACATGCAATACTTTACAGAAGCAATAGACAATATCTGCAACGTATTTACAAAATTACAATATACAATTATTTAAAATTTGCTGTGTGTTGGAAAAAGTTTACTATCGTTCCAACACAAAATCAACTTCCAAAAGTTCATTTCCACTACTCAATAAGTGCTATTTCAAATGTTGTTTAGACTAGATAATCGCATGCTGGTGGTATATTGTCGTATGTGCGGTTGTTGAGCTATAAATTTAAAACTCGGTAATTCATGGAGGCTATATGATAGATCTGCTAGAGTGCAAAGTAACTCTAAGAGCGTACTATGAATTGTTGACATTACTGTGTTAAGGGTCTCACAATACATTTTAGACACTACGGAAAGGTAGAACTAACCCAGGAAGGGTTGTTTTCTTGAACAGGACACCGGGAGTGAACACTTCACTTGCTTACCGCTGACTCCACTGGTGTTTCAGGCTGTACGTTTTCTGCCCATTCCATGAAGATCTCTGCCCGTGTAGCGCCCGGCCACAGGGAGACGAAAGCCACGTTATGTTCCCACAACTCCTGCGCACAGTCTGAGGCTATTCGGTCCATCTGAATAAAGAATACCAGTGAAAAGTTCCGTCAGGTTCGTAAGTCAGTATATAAAGAGAGTCTCTTGCTTGGTTTCGCTACTGACAGCAATAATGATGGTATCTCTCTGGGTGTACGTCGGGGGCCGCATTGTAGATACTATTCTCTGTAACCATGTAGATATTTATGTAGAACTTTAAAAAATCAGTTTGGGAACGTATTTCTATAGCAGCCACATCTGTGATTTGCAATGTGAAACATTCACAATTACTCCGAGGAAGGTGACAGATGGTCACTAAAACGACATCTGAATACAACACCTGGTTGACATATATGTATAAAATGTGTCTCTTTTTTGTATCATAAATATATTTGTTACAAATATTCCTCTTTAACATCTTTTATAACTATCCGTAAATATTTTGAACAGGTTGATAAGTCATTGGCGATTTTAGTTTTTTAAGAATTAAGTGTACATTAAGAATGACATCAGCACTGTACTATTTTGATGGTCTCCTTTTTTAGATTATTAATCTTGATTTTTCATATTTGTTAACATGATGAGTTCTGTATTTGATTAAAGGTATTTTGATTTTCTTGTTATTGTATTTTTAATTGATATTCTATGTCATTGACCCTTTTAGTACCTTTTACTTGTCTTGTCATTACCGATATGATACTAAAATGTAGCAAACTGGGAGTTAGGAAAACGTTTACGTTAGTAGTAAAATCCTCACCGCCGCCTTACAGACACAGTAAGCTGGGTTAAAGACATAAGTGAGTCCTCCCTCAGAGGAAATGTTGACGATGAGCCCCGCCCGAGCCGGTACCATCAGCCGGGCAGCGTACACAGCACAAATATAGCTGTTCCTGGGCAAAACAGACAGAAATTCGCAATGTCCCACTCCTACACACAGCCGGATTGACTTTAGATCGTCCAGACTTGCAGCATTGGTCATTTTTGTTAACCTTAACAGAAGGGAAATATAGTTTTTTCTTTTGCCATTCTTCTTCTTCTCTACTCACATGAGACCAATGACATAAAACAGGTAGCTGCAACCATAGTAACCGGAACTGTAGTAGACCGGTACCGTAGCCATATTGGGTTAAATTATGTAGCAAGTGGCAGTGGCAAGTGGCATGTAGCAAGTGGCAGTAGAGAATATGAGGGCCTGAAAAATATACAGAACAGTATTTTCTTAGCAGGTAAAATTTAACAATGCATTTGCTTTAAAAAGATCATCTTCCTATTTTTTGTCGTTTTTCGTTTTCATTTTTTCCTTGGTACTGCAGAAAAACTGGCGTTTCTTACATGCCTTGTTCTTTTGGCTCATTAAATAAAATAATGCACGTTTCCTGTCAGCTTTATTTGCAGCTGCAAATGATTTTGAGACACGAGCCATGAGCAACATACAGAATACTACAGTTGTTCTATGGTTCCAAAGGCGCGTCCCAAAATCCATTCGGCTTCTCGATGTAATCTATACAGGCCTGAATCAGACGACAACAAAATATGGAACTTCCAGGTAATGTTATTAACACAGATGATACAAAGATGATACAACAACACCGTAGCAAGTATTTATAGCTTTCAGCATGAAGGATTCACTAACGAGCATGATTTTGTTTGTAAAAGTTGATACATATCGTTAAAACAAAACAAAATTTATCCAGGCGGAGTTCTGAACCATGTTTTATTCGTCAATTGTATCGCCTGAATTCTTTGTACTTACGTGTAGATCAGTTTCTACGTCGGTTGACCGAAGCATTAGAATTCTGTCAGAAGTAGACATATGTTGTAGAACAGGAACAGTTTGTTGCAGGCTCCTTAAAGTCTTTTTTAACGTTAACAGTTTTAAAATTATCTGCACGCTTCTCTCCATGAGCGCGTGGCGACAGACTGAAGCCACGCGGTGACAGGGACCAGAGACCCGACAGCTAATTACCCGCTGTGATCCCCGGGGGTTCCACAGACCCACTATTATGACTTAAGGATGTGTCAACAATAAGCGATGTCTTTGACACCCAACAGCCTCATATAAATCTGTGAGGCACTGGCAACAGGATCGTTTTCTAGAAGACCTTACAATAAATAATAAATATATCTTTTCATACTTTTTATTCATAGATACTGTACCTTATCCACACATTCTGTGAGTGAAGTCCCCCGACCATCAGGCAGCAGCTTGCGACCTGGAACAAGTTTTTTTGGTAGTTAAAATTTTAGTCTTCTTAATTTATAAGTCTTTAATCGACACCGAGTGTGGTTTTTCATTCGATTGTTCGAAGATCAAAGCTTCAATAGCATGGAAAAAATTAAAAACCGTTAATCTCTAGCTCCCCGTTGTTGAAACAAAGTGCACTGGAACTGTAAC